GTGAGTGAGTGAGTGACTGACTGACTGCCATACCTTGATAACCTGTACCGGCTGTGTACTGAAGCATGGAGCCAGCAGTCTCAGGCTGTTCACAGTCAGGACATCCGTGTCTCCGAAGTCTAGGAAATAACACTTCACCTACAAAGAAAAAAAAAAATATGGATAGAAATGTAACATTTGCAAAGCAAATTAATAATGTTTACCTTCGCATATGGTCTGCTCTGTTCACTCTTACCCAAAAACATTCATATACATGCATATGGTCAGACAGGAGTCTAAATCCCTCATGCTATAGAATTGCAACATGATGTAACCCAACACCAGTTACCATGGTGACAGACGTCTGATTTGGGTCATTGACCTTATTGGTTTGGAGAGAAGAAGAAGAGGAAACAGAGCAAAAACAGTATTCGACAATCCGTCTTGAGTTATCCTCCTCCGGAATTTTTTTAACAAATGCTCCTGCAGTTCCAGGACAAGCTGCTAGGAGGCCCGAACTAATGTTTTCCTTCTGTAAACATAATAAAAGTGAGATGATTTTTTCCTGACCATGTCATCCTCTACATCCACAGCCTGTACTCTACACCAGACTCCTTCTGTGGCTTCAAAAGCTGCGTAGATGTTTCCTTCTAGAACTGTGTCCAGTGCAGGTCTGGGTTTGCTGTTGTAGTACTCTGTCATTTCTCTTACAAACTCCTTTAGTTCTGTCTGTAGGTACAATAAATACACAACAAATTCACAAGTTAGCTACTGTAACAACAGATACACAAATAAGCTACAACAAATACACAAGATAGCTTCAAAAGCTGTGTAGATGTTCCCTTCCAGAACTGTGTCTGGAGCAGGTCTAGTTCTGCTGTTGTAGTATTCAGTCATCTCTCTCACAAACTCCTTCAACTCTGTCTGTAAGTGCAACAGATACACAACAAATACACAAGTTAGCTTCAACAGATACACAACAATTTTACAACAAATACACAAGTTAGCTTCAAAAGCTGCGTAGATATTTCCTTCCAGAACTGTGTCTGGAGCAGGTCTAGTTCTGCTGTTGTAGTATTCAGTCATCTCTCTCACAAACTCCTTTAGTTCTGTCTGTAGGTACAACAGATATACAACAATTTTACAACAGATACACAATTTATGCACAAGTTAGCTTCAAAAGCAGCATAGATGTTTCCCTCCAGAACTGTGTCTGGTGCAGGCCTGGTTTTGCTGTTGTAGTATTCAGTCATTTCTCGCACAAACTCCTTTAGTTCTGTCTGTAGGTAAAACAGATATACAACAGTTACACAACAAATTCACAACATATAATACAAGTTAGCTTCAAAAGCTGCATAGGTGTTTCCCTCCAGAACTGTGTCTGGTGCAGGTCTAGTCCTGCTGTTGTAGTACTCAGTCATTTCTCTCACAAACTCCTTCAACTCTGTCTGCAAGTACAACAGATACACAACAGATACACAACTTAGTTTCAACAGATACACAAGTTAGCTTCAAATGTAGCATACATAATGTTCCTCCAACCTTTTTTAGGCTGTGGGGATAGTGGGTTGTTAATCCACTGTGTCTAGGGCATGGTATTGGAAGGCCTTCCACTGCCTTTTACCTCCCCAACTGAAGTCAGGTACCCATTTTACACCTGGGTGGAGTAGTGAATACTAGCTTAGCAACTGGATGCCACACTGAAATAAAAGTGGTAGCTAGAGAAAGCATTTAAGTCTGGTTTTAGTACATCATACCTTCAAGTTAGTACTAATAGATGGTATTAAGATTACAGTCAATCTTACACAGCTTGTACTAACTGTTCATAACTGGTGTGTTATGCCTAAATTCAATTTATAAACAAACAAACAAACAAACAGCGTTACCCGGTAGCTCTCTTCGCTGATCCTGACCACCACTTCTGTCGTGTTGTTACAGTCCACAACAAGAACCTGCAGAAACTGTTCATCTGGTAACGGGACGGCTTCTAAACACAACAAATAAACAAACAAACACTTGTAAGGACAAGGTAGAATTGTAAAGTTAGTACACATCCAGCAAATGATCACAGTATAGAGCTGGCAGTTGAGAACGACTGCTTTACCTTTTCTACCTACATGTATTGCTCTTCTGACTCTCAAAACCACCCACTTTGATATATTCTACAGCTCAAAATTACAAATAATTGATGTAACATTTTCTTATATTTTTCCTGAAAAGCTCACAAAAAGTGTGTTTGCACCCAGTATTTCCAGTCCTGACAGAACTGAGCTTGTAGATGTTGGTGCATGTATTATGCCAAAAGGGCAGCTGTACTGGCTATAAGGGAACAGACTGTAAAGAACTAACCAGGCATAGACAGTGGCAGGAGTTGTTCTCGCGCCAGCCGGTCGGCCAGGTCCTCTCCATCAGGTAGCATCAGGTGCACGACGCACCTGTCTTCAGCTGCAGCTGCTACTGTCATAGTCAGCTCTACATCTTCTCTCGTCAGCTCCTGAAATCTACGGAGGGTTTAGAAAAAAGTACATGTTAACAAGAGATGTTGGTAACAGCTACAGCTGAAAGAAGGTAGCATCAGGTGCACGACGCACCTGTCTTCAGCTGCAGCTGTTACTGTCATGGTCAGCTCTACATCTTCTCTCATCAGCTCCTGAAACCTGTGGAAGGTTTAGAAAAAAGAGTACATGTTAACTAGAAAGGTAACACTTGCAGGTAGCATCAGGTGCACGACGCACCTGTCTTCAGCTGCAGCTGTTACTGTCATAGTCAGCTCGACATCTTCTCTCGTCAGCTCCTGAAACCTGTGAAGGGTTTAAAAGTACATGTTAAGTAGAAATGTTGGTAACAGCTGCAGCTGGAGACAGGTAGCATCAGGTGCACGACGCACCTGTCTTCAGCTGCAGCTGTTACTGTCATGGTCAGCTCTACATCTTCCCTCGTCAACTCCTGAAACCTACGGAGGGGTTAAAAAGAAAAAAAAAATGAATTGGGTTTGAATCCGTGACATGTATGTATCCTGATGTTGTGCCTTGGGAAAGGGTTATGAATGTCCTAACAGAACTCTGTAAATCTATGTTAATCTGTATGTACCTAGGTTTGGTTAGGTACATGTTAGCTAGAAAGGTAACATTTGCAAAGCAAATGCATAATGTTCATTTTTACATGGTCAGGCCTCACAAACTACTGAATACTCTGTTTATTCTTACTCAAACACATTCATTTATATGGTGACCATCCCCTCTAACTCTGTCCTGCCACTTGCTACATAATGTACACAACACAGTGTTCGAAATACCTGCCTGCAGTCTGCAATCTGCAGATAGATTTTCAAGATTGCAGAAGAAAAAATTATACAATCTGCAATTTTGCAGAAGGAAAAATAGGCTCCAGATTCATTAGTTTTCAATTTAGCAAACTAAAACTCCCAGGCCCCAGGGACAGACTGTTCTGAAACAACAGGAGCTTCTTCACTAATTTGCATCATCCTTGTCTTGACTTGTCTAACTTTTGTTTCCTTTTGTACTTCCAAAAAATTGTCTTCACTAATTTGCATATCAATCCATAGCTTATGCTTATAAACCTGAAATTCCCCTGCAGTCCAGTAATGCTACTGTACAGATTTACAAAGCTATATATGATGTAAAAAGGAATTATTGGTTTGAGAAGGTTGTAGTATGGAGGATTCACAGTGTATTTGCAGAAAGGTTGTAATATGGAGGCTTGTGTATTTGCAGAAAGTATTTCCAAATTGCAGAACAAAATTTTGACTCTTCTGCAATATTGCAGAGTACTGAAAAAAAGTATTTCGACCACTGCAACACCACAGAGTGTCTGCTACAGCACCTGTTGCCTTATTTGTTTGGTTAGCGAGAGCAGCACGTGCAGTGCACACTAAAAAAAGAAAACGCAGAGAACCAAAAATAAAAGTTGAGAAGGCCTCAGCCATTTTCTGAATAATTACCTGTCTTTGGCAGCTTGGCTCCATGTTGAGTTGGACCGTACCATGTGTAGCTGGCAGGGGAGGGCCTGGGCTGGGTGCTGCACGGCTCGTACCACTAGTCTCTGGATCCGCTTCTTCCCAACAAACTCAGAGTTCCCGAAGTCTACATACTGTACAAACTACAGGGAAGGGAAGAGAATTTAATGCTGTTTAGCTCACTGGAAAACTACTCTTTCCTTTCTTGTGGCATGCAATTTGGGTGAGTAAAAATAATCGGGATTCTAACTCCCAACCTCTTGGTCCAGAGGCAAAAACAGTTGGGATTCATACTCCCAACCTCTTGGTCCAGAGGAAGAGTCTAATCGGAAGTATACATGCCACCAAAGAAAACATAAAAGTACTCGAAAGAGTGAAATGTTTGTGACAAGTCGCTGAAAAAAGAGACTCCAACAAGAGTAGATTAATAGGAATTTTACCTCTTATTTTGTTGTATTTCAGCAGTCAGAAAGAGAGGAAGACAGCTAGAAGAGGAAAGAAAGACAGAAGACAGGATTTGAGAAAATGTACAATCAAAAGAAGAAACAACATTGAAGGAAGAAACAAAGAGGGGGAATGATTTCCACCTACATGGCAGTATCCTTCCTGCAGAAAGGAAGAGGAATAGAGCTAGAAGAAAAAAAAAAGGAGACAGAATTCGAGAGAAATGGAAAAGAAAAGGAAGAAACAAAGAAAAAACAAATAATTTCCACGTACATAGCAGTCTTGGCCCTGTCCTGCAGTGCCCCCTGTCTGGTGAGTGAGAACTGCACGGCACCAGGAGTCATCAGCAGTGTACTGAGCTGCACAACAGGTCCCGGGGCTGTAACTGGGGGGCGGGGATATCCACGTGTCCTGGAAATAACAACATTCACTTATATTTTCTGTAGCATTTGTGTGCGTGTGTGTGTAACGGGTTTGGGGGGATGTACAGAGCTGCACAGTTGGTCCCAGGGCTGTAACTGGGGGGCGGGGACACCCACGTGTCCTGGAAAATAACAACTTTACAGTTTCTTACTATGATGTCTTCAGTCTGTAGCACTTG